CAATTCAACTCAACAATTCTTTAGCTCTTCAGCTATCCAGCTTCTCCAAGCTTGGCAATTATACTTCAAGAAGAACTAAGTCCTCCTCGAAATAGGGGGCAAAAGGAATAGAAAGCATAACAAGAACATAGCAGCACAACAAACAGAAGTACAACAATTCAACAATTTAAAAAGCAATGTATATTTACATTTCCCAAAGGAAGTAGAGTACTAGGTATTACATTAGCAGAGTACTAGGTAAACAAACAACAACAGAAGTTCTTCAAAAAATCCTAAGTCTCTGCGATAGGAACAGAAGAAGCATCTAGCAGCTCAGCGGTAGAAACTACAGAAGGATCAGAGGCGGGTGAAGGAAGAAGGACCTCAGGAAGAACATGATCAGGGACAGGGGCCTCATCTCTATTTGGGGGCAAAGTCAACCCAGAAACTTGAGCCTCGAGGTCAGTAGAGACATCACTAGAAATGAAAACACTAGTAGAGATATCAGCAGGAGCAAGGGGTAGATCAGCAACTCTAGTGGTAGGATCAGGGACAAGGACCGCAGAAATTGCTGGAACAGGGAAAACCTCTTGGGCCAAGACCTCGACAGTAGGACGGGGACCTTAGTGCCTTCAGGAGCAAGCTCAGAAGCCGAGGGAGCTAAAGCCCCAGCCTCTTCTTTAGCACCTGACACCTCCTCCTCATCGGAAGAGGGTTCAAAGTCAAAATTCAAATCTGGGTACCTCTGCATAGCCTGACGTTGAAAAACAAGGTACCCAACAGCCCACTTGGTCGTCACATCATTTATCAGTTTAGTAGCCAGAATATCTTTCTGCTCAACAGCAACTCTCTANACCTCTTCTTCAGCACCTGACACCTCCTCCTCATCGGAAGAGGGTTCAAAGTCAAAATTCAAATCTGGGTACCTCTGCATAGCCTGAAGTTGAAAAGCAAGGTACCCAACAGCCCACTTGGTCGTCACATCATTTATCAGTTTAGTAGCCAGAATATCTTTCTGCTTAACAACAACTCTCTACACCTCAAGCTCACTCCAAAGTGCATCATTTGCTTCTACCAGAACGTCATATTCTCTTTTCATGCTCACATAAGAGCCCAGAGCCTCGAAGACCTCCTTGCTGGCCTTGACCCAGTAATAATTTTTCAGCTTAAGCTCATCCTTGATCTTCTTAAGCTTCTCTTTGGTCATCTTACCCTCACCCTCAATCCTCTCTTTCTCGGCCTCCAATCCCTTAATAATAAAAGTTTGTCTCTCCACTTGCACTTGCAGATCCTGGACCTAAGCTTGGAGGTCGTTATTGGTGAAAGTCAATTCGGTCGCTTTGAGCTCAAAAGCCTTTGATGCTTTGGTAGAGCTCTCCAGAGCTTTGATTTAGTTCAGCAAACCACTCACATAAATGACCAGCTAGGAGCAAGCATGACCCAAATGCTAAAGTTAGCGCAAGGGGATGACATAAGACAAAAATGGAATTAGAGGAATTAGAAACTTACTGAAGTAGCACCGTAGAGGGCAGTGAAAATTGAAGTTCCAAGGGGCATGGTGGCAGCCCTCTGGATATCGAATTCAGGGATTATTGAAGCAATAGCCTCAGTAGCAAGCTGCACACTATCAATAAGTGAACCATTGCCCTTCTCAGCCTTCACACCCTTTACCTGCAGGACATAAGTCTTCTCAACAGGCCTGGGAGAAGAAGGCCTACCTAAGATACGGGTATCTGAATCTAAAGCTCCCTCGACCTCCATTGAAGAGGGAGAAGTTAAAACCGTAGCTTGCTCAGGAACCCCTCTAGATGAGGATGACACAGTCTCTCGAGGAAGTAAGGTCTATATGATATTTGACGAGCTTGGCTATAGAACAAGGGCCACCTGGGACGAGGGATGAGAAATAGGAGACACCTCTAACCTCGACATCTTGGCAGAAGGGGCAGCACCACTTCCTGACCCGACCTCTGCTTTGTGCCTACCTCCACTCCTAGTTCTCTTTATTTGGCTGACATTTGCCCTAAAATCCTTGGTAGATGGCTCCATTGAGGAAGAACCTAAAAGCTCAAGACAAAAAAATTAGAAAGGAAAAAGTGAGATAGAAATTAAGAACAGAAGGAGAAAATGTTACCTGCCACCTCCTCTGTTCTAACCACAGAAATTGGGATGGGAGTCTCAACCTTCACTTTTGGAGGACTAAACCCAAGTTTAGTAAGCACTTGGGGCTTGATGAGCTTAGTGTATTTCTTTGGATCGCAATCCACTAAGCTCAGCAGAACTCACTTATCCTCCGCGCTGAGCTTAGGACGAATACCTGAAGAACAAAACGAAATAAGCAGAACAAGGTCAGCGGAATAAGTCATCAAAACTGATCGAAGCTTACATAGGCAAGGGCTTACCCAGGTTGCCAGGGGCAGACCAGGCCCGTGGCACTAGGGGAGTGTATGCTACATCTTCAAGGTTGTATTCTCATTCTCTGCCCTATACAAGGAAGAAAAGCTTCTTCTAACCCTTGTGAGAGTTTGGGAGATTAGAAATTAGAAATAATAGCTTGAGTTTTTACCCGTTTAGAAATATACAAGAAACCGTCAGAAGGAATATACTTGACATTAAAGAATTTCATAAGCAAAGACACAGTAAGAACTCTAAGATTGCGTTTCTTAAAGAAAATAAGGAGACCCACCAGAACACTACAAAAATTAGGGAAAAGTTGAGCAGGGCAGACATTAAAGTGTTGAAGGACGCTCTTAAGAAAAGGGGATAATTGGAAACGAAGGCTATTCTCAAAAGCGACCGCGAAGAAGTAGACTTTCTTAGGAATGGGGGAGTCATACCGAATGTTCTTGTCTGGACACCAATACTTCAAATTCCCAGGAAAATCGAAACGAGCAGATAAGACCCTTATGTAAGGAAATGTGACCTCACTAGAACCCATGAGGTCTGAAGCTCTAAAGGCAGCCCCCACACCTTCAACGCTATCATAAATTCCAACACCACTCACTTTGGTTTTACATTTATTGGATTTTTTGGGCATAGGGGGGAAGACGAGGGAGGCCCCTCAATACTTTCCTCAGCATCGACATAATCGACAGTAGGAGAGTTATCAATCTCCTCACCCACATCTCCCAAATCGACGTCTTCTTCAATAGACCTGTCATCCATGAGGAAAATAGACGAGGGAGTAGTTTCAAAAAAGGCAACCATGATTGGACAGGAGAAAAGAAGACTGAAAGAGCTATAAAGAGGGGGAACGTTAGCAAAATAGTCCCTAAGAGTTAAGGGGTCGAGATAGCAGCAACCAACGAGGAAAACCCTAGTAGTGGAGCAAGGATCCAGAAAATGGGGAAGATAAGACAGGGAACAACCCCGATTCCTAAAGAAGCAAAAACGAAAGGTCAAAAAGTGCAGCAACCACCTCAGATTTGAGGGATTTAGAACGAAGAAATGAAGAAAAGTCGAGAAGCGTACCAAATCAAGGATGAGCGACAAATCGATGCCCAAAGCGCAATTAGAAAGTAGGCCTTGCAAAGCCTTCAAATCAATCGAATCAAGGGAAGCCAATTTTTGGGGAAACCCTAAGAGCACTAGCAGATTGGGGAAGCTAAAATCACAAGGAAGAAAGGAGACAAAGCCTGGAGAGAGATATCGAACAAAAAAGTGAGGCGGTTTCGATCATCTCAAAGGCATTTAAAGCTTGGCGAACATGGGTCATCGGAATACGGGACATGCGCCAGAATAAGGAAGAAATGATTGCACAAAACTGTTAGAAAAAACTCTTCGCACATAAATCGAGGTCGCTACGTAAAGGTGTAACTCAACTCAGTCGTAGCTTAACCCCTGCTCAAACCCACTTCGACCAAGGACTATGGGGCAACTAATAATACTTGGGAAAAATCCCAAGTTTGAGCTTAGACGCTGAGGTCAGGAGAGAGCTTAGCCAAGAAAGCCCGAGTTCAGAGGTCAAGACCTGGGGTCTCCTTGGCCTGTACCCTGAAGAAAATAGGTGGAAGATAGTTGGTAGGGGTGTTCAAATTTTCGTTTGACTGTAATTTCCTACCCTATCCTACTCTATTGAGTGGCTAGCCGCAAAAATCGAGTAGGAATGCGGAATACCCATCAATTTTCACATTTCTACCCTACCCTACTCTACTAGCAAAAAATATATTTAACTTTTTTATATTTTTTTAATAATTATAATAGTATTTGTGTGGTATAATTTATATTATAACATTGTTATTGTTATGAATGTTTGAGTTGCGAAAACATGGATTTATTTTTTGTGTAGGTTACATGATTTGTGATGAACTGGTGATCTATTTGGAGCAGTTATGATTTTAATGTGTTTCATATGGTTTAAAATTAAAATAATTGTTATTGTATTTGTTTTACAATTATGATGGATTGATATTCATGATTTCTTATGTTTTATTGTAATTGGTGTTTTAGTTGTTTTAGGTTTTAGTGTTATTGATTTATTGTATTGTTAAATTGATACATGTTATTTAATTGAATTTTTAAAATGATCCAAAAGTATTTACCCGACTTTCTACCCGATTAATCGGGTAGGAATACCACACCTGATCAGGTAGGGTAGGCCAAGAAAAAAATTTTATGTGCGATCATTCTTCATTTTTATGTAGGCCAAGAAAAAATTGAATTGAATTTTATGAATTGAATTGTAGGCCAAGAAAAAAATACCACACCTGACCACTATAATTTTTATGTGCGATCCATTCTTCATTCTCAATTTACCTCACTATTCTCAAGAGCCTCGTAGCTCAAATCAAACCCAATAGCACACGAAATCTACTCTCACGTTTCACACACCATCACTTTGGAATGCACTAACAATGCAAAGATTACAAAATCAATCTTGTGGAAGGTTTCTTGAATGCTAATCTAAAGTAAAAATGACAATAAATGGAACCCAGTATACATGTTTTGGCAAGGTGGGCTGTTAAATAAGCCCTGTAGAGTTCTAACAAGTTTGCTGATTATGTAGTTGCCGCGAACTCCAAGTGTCATTCACAGGTGAACAAGGGAAGATTATTGTTGGCAGCCTCTTGCTTTCCTCCAAATGAGGGAAATCGATGGTGTAGTGCAGCCCACGGCTTTCGGCTTACCACCAGCTTAGCACAGCAGAAGAGGTTTCTCCAGGGCTGGCCCAACAGCATTAAAAAAAAAAAATGGGCTTTAGGCCCCAAATTTTAAAAAGTTCCATAATATTAAATACATAATTAGTTCACATAAAAAAATTTAAATTCATAAAAATTTTAGGTCTTGCAAAAAGGCTCCAAAAAATTTAATCTCAATCAAAAAATTATAATTTCAATAATTTAGGCCTACAATTCAATTCATAACATTAGAAATTCAAAAATAAAAAATTTAAAAAACAAAAACAAAAAAATTCAAAAGTCAACTCATATTCACTTACATCTATTATCTTTCTCTCTCTCTTCAAAAACAAAAATAAAGTATCACATCCTCCTCTCTCACTTAAAAAAAATTAAAAATATTTTTATTATTTAAAAATAATACTAAAAATAAAAAAACCTCATTTAGTATTACCGTTTTAAGCCTCAAATTACCTTGAGTCACCCCTAGGTTTCTCATTTCACAAACCTCGATCCCCACCGTTGTTGGTTCCCACCCTTGCTGAAGTAAGTCGGTCTCCCACTCTAATTCCAACTCCCCGATCCTCTGCTCAGCAGTTTCTATCCTCGTTGTTGACCGAACGATTCCAACATAGTTCCACATTATGGATTGCAATTGTTTTCTCACTTCCCCTTTCCTAGAATTGATTTTGCCCAATATATTGATCCCGAGTGACCTGGGCTGGCACAACTGGTCTAGCCCACCAATCAGAAGCAGCATGTCCAATGTGACAGCTCTTCATCTGATCTATTGAAGGCTGCACAGCTCTTCTTGCAAATACTAGTGCCTTAAGCAACGAGTTGCTAGCAAGGCGGTTTGCTCCATGCAAACCTGTGCACGCAACCTCATCTGCCACATAAAGTCCTCGCACATTTGTCTCCCCTTGGAGCCCAGCACGAACTCCTCCGCACATATAATGAGCAGCAGGAACCACCGGAATTGGTTGGCTGGTTATATCTGGGCCATATCGCTGGCACTCAGCAGCTGTGTTTGGAAAGTGAGCAAGAACTTTCTCTCTAGGTTTGTGACTTATGTCAAGTAATAAGAGTTTGTTGAGATTGAGGAAGATCTGTTTCTGTTGCTAGATACATAATATTGGAATAAAATTATGAGGCAAATGCATAATATTCTTATATCGATTTTAAATTAATGCAACTCAAGTTACTTCATACTTATTCATATATGACACTAGATCATGATCTACTTCAATACCAAATTATTTTTATGTCGGTTGACATACCATGAATCCAAACAAATTAAAAATTTGATAAATTTATATCAAAAAAAATATATATATATCTTAGCTGACCGATTTTTTAATCAAATGAAAAGTCACTAAAGCTCATTGGGGCCAGCTTGATGGGTAGTCCTCCAAAGATTTATGCTTTGGGTTGTGCGATAAGATTGAAAAATGAAAGGATGAAAAAAATTAGAGGGATAAATAAAATATTATGTTTGGTAAAAATAATAAAAATAAAAGAGTAGATGGATTAGTTTTTCTTTCAATTCATCAAAATCAATCCCTTCAAAGTTGGGAGGAAAAGTGGATGAAAAATTAATTATGTGTGTCCAAATGTTTGTTATTTACTTATATAACCTTCACTATATGCATATATCATATTTACCTATTATATATTATGTATACATTAATTTCATATATAGATATAATGCTAAGATATGTATCGAATTTATCACTTTAAGACAGGGTTATTTGACATATATTTATGTTGAAAGTAAACCTCGAATACTAATTATCACTCTCAAATTACAAATTTTAGTTAAATTTGATAAATCTTGGGAGAGTCTATGGTACCGCCTGGTCAAATAGTGGTACTGTATCAAAAAAAAGTGTGGCTGTAAATTTTTTGACATTAAATATTACTCAAATGTGTGGCTGTGAATTTTTTGTCATTAAATATTACTTATTAAAGTGATAACTTTGTCTATAAATGTAATAACATTACTTGAAAAGGTTGTAAACTCACCTCAAGAAATTATAATCTCACCTCACATTTAGAGGTGATATTTTTACCTTTAATGCTTGTAACCTTAAATAATTATTGTTAGAATAAATTAAAATAAAAGTTTAAAAAAATACATAACTACTTATTTTGTATTAATTTTTCAGTTTTTAACTTTACTATTGAAATTTAATTCTTGCATGTTCATGTCATTTAATTATAAAATTGATATAGGCTTTAATAGCTTGAAAGTTACATACTAATATATTTTAAAGCCTATTATTCAAGAATAATTAAGATAGTGCATATAAAACAAGGTGGCTAGAAGATGGATAATTTGACCATCTTTTCTATATGCTCCTCTTCTATCAAATGTTGCTATTCTTTTTACATATTTCTTTTTGCCTATTATTACATTTACATACCTACAAATATTTGGTATTAGTTTACTTCGGACAACTTCGATTCGAGTCAGGTTCACCATTCCTTTCAGTGGACGTGACCATTGAGGAGGTGCTGCTGTGAGCGTCTGGATTTGATCTTGGAGTCGCTGGTGTCTGTCAATACCCTCACGCGGGGAGGCTTAGCTGCTTTAGGACAGTGTTTACACGACTCTCAGACTCGCAGGCCAACTCTTTCTAATTTGTAGTATCTATTTTATTCTATTTTAAGTTTATTGTTATTTTGTGTTTGTCTATGTGATATTGATATGAATTTATTAATTCAAATTATATATAATTATGCTAATTTTCCCAACATTCTAAAGCAGCTGAAAAATCTTGTTCGCACTATTAAGCTGAACACAAGTACAAGTTCATTAGGCTAACATATACAATAGAACTACCAATAATCCTCCTGTCCAACAATTCAACTTCACGAACACAAAGTCTACGATGTTATTAGATGAATGAGCATGAGCACGAGAAAACCAAGCATTAAAAAAGAAAAACATTTTCATAACAAACTTAATCCCATCCCCGTGAGTTTGATGGTGATAAAAACCATGAGCAAAACCCCCATGAAACGAACTAGAAGGCAAATAGGGGAAACCAGTAGTTGCTCCATATAGAGTAGCATCTTGAAATCCGTGGACCTAAAGATTAAAAAAAAAAAGGATGGAATAGCACCAAACAGAGCAGATAATGTTAAGCTCCCAAACCTTGCAATCGCCATTGACATGAAACCCCCGGTGGGATCAAGCTCATCTTGTCGAAAAAAGTTTATATTTGAAGCTGGAGCTGTTTGGGGTCTCTGCCCTGCAAGGCGATGGGGAATATTAATTCCAGGTATCGACACAGATCTGGATATTATTTTGTTATTTAAAATTATGTAAAGGGATCTACAACAATTTAAAAATTTGCTTTAATAAAAAAAAATGTAGCTACTTGTTTTAAAAAAAAAAATTAATTAAAGTTTCAAGAGCTATTACAATAATTCAAACACCTTTCTTAATTTCATTACAAATAGAGTTTTAACAGTTGACATTTAAAATCAATACAAGTTCTTTGTATTTCTCTTATTATTTCTTTGTCTTGAATTCTAAGTAATTCTTCATTCGAACGTTAGTATATATATTATAGCATGAGATAAGTAGATGTTAACTAAATTTTCAAAATTAGTGGGGACATAATAGTTATTTGGGGAATGTTAGATCCATCAATGTGTGTCCATATGTCTATTCTATAAATTAAGAACACGTCCATTATTATTGGAGATATTATTTTTGTGATTAACGTGTTTACACTTCATTACATGAACATATACATGTGATATCTAATTAGTCTAATACCACATTAGTTAAAGGGACCTTATGTAGATTCATGATACAAAAAAACTCTAGACAAGAAAATATAGTAGTTACTAGAAGGAAAAAAAAAGTTTTAAAATAAACATAAAAAAACATAATGCTTGATTCGTACAACTCATAACCACAACCACATGAAACTATAAGTTACCCAGATAAAGAACCTTCTAGTTGNTTGGAGCTGTTTGGGGTCTCTGCCCTGCAAGGCGATGGGGAATATTAATTCCAGGTATCGACACATATCTGGATATTATTTTGTTATATAAAATTATGTAAAGGGATCTACAACAATTTAAAATTTTGCTTTAATAAAAAAAAATGTAGCTACTTGTTTTAAAAAAAAGAATTAATTAAAGTTTCAAGAGCTATTACAATAATTCAAACACCTTTCTTAATTTCATTACAAATAGAGTTTTAACAGTTGATATTTAAAATCAATACAAGTTCTTTGTATTTCTCTTATTATTTCTTTGCCTTGAATTCTAAGTAATTCTTCGTTCGAATGTTAGTATATATATTATAGCATGAGGTAAGTAGATGTTAACTAAATTTTCAAAATTAGTGGGGACATAATAGTTATTTGGGGAATGTTAGATCCATCAATGTGTGTCCATATGTCTATTCTAAAAATTAAGAACACATCCATTATTATTGGAGATATTATTTTTGTGATTAACGTGTTTACACTTCATTACATGAACATATACATGTGATATCTAATTAGTCTAATACCACATTAGTTAAAGGGACCTTATGTAGATTCATGATACAAAAAAACTCTAGACAAGAAAATATAGTAGTTACTAGAAGAAGTATTTACTAGAAGGAAAAAAGAAGTTTTAAAATAAACATAAAAAAACATAATGCTTGATTCGTACAACTCATAACCACAACCACATGAAACTATAAGTTACCCAGATAAAGAACCTTCTAGTTGTACTGTTACAACTCATGGTATTCTTTAGCATCATAACGTACCATGTTTCTATCTCACATGAACTCTATGAACATGTTTATAAAAGTTGGATTCACTGAAGTTGATCAAGCTATAATTTTGGAATTTGTTCTTTTATATTGATTATATAATTTAGTCTAGAAAAATATTTTAAAAAAAAAAAAAACAANTTTGGAATTTGTTCTTTTATATTGATTATATAATTTAGTCTAGAAAAATATTTAAAAAAAAAAAAACCCACTGAACTAGTGAACTTAGGTTACTTCAACTTCCTATTTGGATTAATTAATATATATTAGCATTTCATTACAAGCAGTGTGATAAAAATCAACCTATTAATTTTCTCGTAGGCTAAAATATTGCACTTCTTGCTATGGGCTTATATGAAGCATTGTTAACTTTACAATAAAAATTGCTTAAGTGATCGACACTTGACGGATTATAACATGATTTCATTTGATCGTGTGTGAGGTCCTACTCTTTGTGTTATTTATAAGTCTTCAAATTTGTTTAATGCTTGGTTCCATATAAAACTTCGTTATAGAATATTAATATAAACAAGAAAATTGGTTCTGTGATATTTATGGTCAATGGACAATTACTAACTGTGGGTTTTTAATATTTTGAAGTGCTATAATTTATTTTATGGATTATTTGAAACTGTAACTGATAAGTTACAATTATTGTCTAACGTTAGTCGTTAAATTTGGAATTTTTTTGACTCAGNTTTATGGATTATTTGAAACTGTAACTGATAAGTTACAATTATTGTCTAACGGTAGTCGTTAAATTTGGAATTTTTTTGACTCAGTTAATTACTAATATACGTTTATAATTAGTGGAGTCAAATAGTTCAAAAACATGGTCAAGTCTTTGTTCAAAGAAGTTTCTGCATTACTTTAATATTTAATGATGCTTAGATCACACGAGTAAAAATATATTGAGGTAAATCTGTATTGTTAAATTAGACTAATTATTGTTGAAGCCCATACAGTGTACCATCATGGTTGTTTTACATCACTTATGGGAAAGTAATTATTTTTGTTAATTCTATTTGGATTAATGGAAATATTTGATTCTGAAATGAGTTATTTTAAATGATGATTTATCATGGGAAGAAATTGTTGATGAGGAGTAACGTGCAATTTTAGACTAAGATAATAGAACATTAATTTAAAATGTTGAAAGTCAAATAATATCTAGTATGTTGGATGGTGAATAATATTTGAATTTCTGAATGCCACAAATATTGATTCTAGGATTTCTTTGAAACATGTAAACCTTATCACCCAATTGAACTACTAGATTAAAAGAAAAAAAAGGCTTATCGAAAAACTGGTATGACTTTAAGAGTTGGGCAACAGAAATTCAGATTTATTGGGTGCTTGATAAGAAGTATTGTACTTTGTGCACTAACGTGATTTTAGAAACCCAATAAGGAGTGTTATTTATGAATTAAATTTGTTTGACCAAGCTACGACATCTGACCTATTTTGGCGATTAGAAACTCAACATTATTTATTCTCTAGTTAGTGAGACTATATAAAGTTGAGAGATAGAATATATTCTTGTTGGGTCATGACATGCTATAAGCACTTTCTGCTAACTTTACTGTTTGATACTGGTATATTGATGGTATGATTATAACACACGAATTATATGTGTTGGCAATAGAGCAATGTGATGCAAATACCATTTTATGACGTACAAGTTGAAGAAATTACTTAGCTCAAATTTTAAATAAAGAGCTAAAGCATTAGTAACTCACATGAAAAAAAAAATTGGAAATGTGGGGGTACAATTAAAAAGATATCTCCTTGATTTGCAATTTGAATTTTCTTAATGAGATGGTTTTGTTATTTGTCCGTTTGTAATAAGGATTGCAATGATCTGTTGAGATCTTTGTTGACTATGCTGGCACTTAAAATCTTCTTAGACAAGTACATTTTAATGTAGTGTTTATCTTTGATGTTTGAAAAACAGGTCAGGTCAAATATCAAATAGAGGAATTAATAAGGCGTGCATGTCCGAGCGAGACATTCATCATGAAGAATGATCATTTTATATTGAGATTATAAATAGCAGTCAAACAAAGCTGAAAAATAATTATACAGCTTTCGAGAAAAGCCATGAGACATGAATATATGAAAGATGATTAATTTCATCAATGAGCTTTTGAGGAAAGCCAAGTTTTTAAGAAAAGCTGTGTCTCAAGAACTGTCGAGAGGGATGGACCTAAGCTCGCAAAGGAGTCACCTAGGGAGGTAACCCAACTTCTGTGATTGGGGACCCCATGAAGGAAGTTTAATGGGTAANATAAGGATTGCAATGATCTGTTGAGATCTTTGTTGACTATGTTGGCACTTAAAATCTTCTTAGACAAGTACATTTTAATGTAGTGTTTATCTTTGATGTTTGAAAGACAGGTCAGGTCAAATATCAAATAGAGGAATTAATAAGGCGTGCATGTCCGAGCGAGACATTCATCGTGAACAATGATCATTTTATATTGAGATTATAAATAGCAGTCAAACAAAGCTGAAAAATAATTATACAGCTTTCGAGAAAAGCCAAGAAACATGAATATATGAAAGATGATTAATTTCATCAATGAGCTTTTGAGGAAAGCCAAGTTTTTAAGAAAAGCTGTGTCTCAAGAACTGTCGAGAGAGATGGACCTAAGCTCGCAAGGGAGTCACCTAGGGAGGTAACCCAACTTCTGTGATCGGGGACCCCATGAAGGAAGTTCAATGGGTAGAAACAATCCATATTGTGTGACTCATTAGCACCGTTATTGAGAAAATATCCTAAGAGGAGATATTTTCATACTTATCCCTATGGCAGAGGTGCATCTGTAGTGTGACGGTAAGGAAAGGTTTTACTCTAAATGAGACCAAGGCAAGAACACTCCTGCAGGGTATTGTGCACATGTACCCTTTAAGGGCTCACCTAAGTGAGAGTAGTCGTGAGACCGCGACTATGAGAATTGGGCTATTCTCTAGAAACTCTCATGTGTAAGGCCATTAATAGCACTGACCCGCGAATCCTGATCAATATCGGTACTGTGTGTGTGATAGTTGAACTCTGGCTCAAAGANAGCTTTTGAGGAAAGCCAAGTTTTTAAGAAAAGCTGTGTCTCAAGAACTGTCGAGAGAGATGGACCTAAGCTCGCAAGGGAGTCACCTAGGGAGGTAACCCAACTTCTGTGATCGGGGACCCCATGAAGGAAGTTCAATGGGTAAAAACAATCCATATTGTGTGACTCATTAGCACCGTTATTGAGAAAATATCCTAAGAGGAGATATTTTCATACTTATCCCTATGGCAGAGGTGCATCTGTAGTGTGACGGTAAGGAAAGGTTTTACTCTAAATGAGACCAAGGCAAGAACACTCCTGCAGGGTATTGTGCACATGTACCCTTTAAAGGCTCACCTAAGTGAGAGTAGTCGTGAGACCGCGACTATGAGAATTTGGCTATTCTCTAGAAACTCTCATGTGTAAGGCCATTAATAGCACTGACCCGCGAATCTTGATCAATATCGGTACTGTGTGTGTGATAGTTGAACTCTGGCTCAAAGGGTCCTAATTCAAGCCTTTGGTCACTATGATCCTTAAGGGGAAGACTGTTAACACTAAGTGAGGTTCAAGTTCAGAAGACACCTACACTCATTGCACAGTATAATAGTTGCCCATATTTTCTGTCTATTACTTTTATATAAATATATTTGAGTCNAACAATCCATATTGTGTGACTCATTAGCACCGTTATTGAGAAAATATCCTAAGAGGAAATATTTTCATACTTATCCCTATGGCAGATGTGCATCTGTAGTGTGACGGTAAGGAAGGGTTTTACTCTAAATGAGACCAAGGCAGGAACACTCCTGCAGGGTATTGTGCACATGTACCCTTTAAAGGCTCACCTAAGTGAGAGTAGTCGTGAGACCGCGACTATGAGAATTTGGCTATTCTCTAGAAACTCTCATGTGTAAGGCCATTAATAGCACTGACCCGCGAATCTTGATCAATATCGGTACTGTGTGTGTGATAGTTGAACTCTGGCTCAAAGGGTCCTAATTCAAGCCTTTGGTCACTATGATCCTTAAGGGGAAGACTGTTAACACTAAGTGAGGTTCAAGTTCAGAAGACACCTACACTCATTGCATAGTATAATAGTTGCCCATATTTTCTGTCCATTACTTTTATATAAATATATTTGAGTCATTTCAAAATTTTCAAAACTTGTGGGGGATTGTTAGAATAAATTAAAATAAAAGTTTTAAAAACTACATAACTACTTATTTTGTATTAATTTTTCAGTTTTTAACTTTACTATTGAAATTTAATTCTTGCATGTTCATGTCATTTAATTATAAAATTGATATAGGCTTAATAGCTTGAAAGTTACATACTATTATATTTTAAAGCCTATTATTCAAGAATAATTAAGATGGTGCATATAAAACAAGGTGGTTAGAAGATGGATAGTTTGACCATCTTTTCTATATGCTCCTCTTCTACCAAGTGTTGTTATTTNATGATCCTTAAGGGGAAGACTGTTAACACTAAGTGAGGTTCAAGTTCAGAAGACACCTACACTCATTGCATAGTATAATAGTTGCCCATATTTTCTGTCCATTACTTTTATATAAATATATTTGAGTCATTTCAAAATTTTCAAAACTTGTGGGGGATTGTTAGAATAAATTAAAATAAAAGTTTTAAAAACTACATAACTACTTATTTTGTATTAATTTTTCAGTTTTTAACTTTACTATTGAAATTTAATTCTTGCATGTTCATGTCATTTAATTATAAAATTGATATAGGCTTAATAGCTTGAAAGTTACATACTATTATATTTTAAAGCCTATTATTCAAGAATAATTAAGATGGTGCATATAAAACAAGGTGGTTAGAAGATGGATAGTTTGACCATCTTTTCTATATGCTCCTCTTCTACCAAGTGTTGTTATTTTTTATACATATTTCTTTTTGCCTATTATTACATTTGCATACCTATAAATATTTGGTATTAGTTTACTTCGGGCAACTTCGATTCGAGTTAGGTTCACCCTTCCTTTCAGTGGGCGTGACCATTGAGGAGGTGCTGCTGCGAGCGTCTGGGTTTGATCTTAAAGTCGCTGGTGTCCGTCAGTACCCTCACGCAGGGAGGTTCAGCTGCTTTAGGACAGTGTTCACACGACTTTCGGACTCGCAGACCAGCTCTTTCTAATTTGTAGTATCTATTTTATTCTATTTTAAGTTCNAATTTAATTCTTGCATGTTCATGTCATTTAATTATAAAATTGATATAGGCTTAATAGCTTGAAAGTTACATACTATTATATTTTAAAGCCTATTATTCAAGAATAATTAAGATGGTGCATATAAAACAAGGTGGCTAGAAGATGGATAGTTTGACCATCTTTTCTATATGCTCCTCTTCTACCAAGTGTTGCTATTCTTTATACATATTTCTTTTTGCCTATTATTACATTTGCATACCTATAAATATTTGGTATTAGTTTACTTCGGGCAACTTCGATTCGAGTTAGGTTCACCCTTCCTTTCAGTGGGCGTGACCATTGAGGAGGTGCTGCTGCGAGCGTCTGGGTTTGATCTTAGAGTCGCTGGTGTCCGTCAGTACCCTCACGCGGGGAGGTTCAGCTGCTTTAGGACAGTGTTCACACGACTTTCGGACTCGCAGGCCAACTCTTTCTAATTTGTAGTATCTATTTTATTCTATTTTAAGTTCATTGTTATTTTGTGTTTGTCTATGTGATATTGATATGAATTTATTAATTCAAATTATATATAATTATGCTAATTTCCCCAACAATTATAACTTCATATCCAAAGGTAGTAGTTTTACCATAAATAGTAATTTTCCTATTTTTCATCCATCCTATCAAACACAAAAGAGGAAAGTAAGAACTTATCCTTGAATGATAAAAAGTGTATCACTTTTAATTTCCATCATTCCATTTTTTTTTCAAATAAAAAGTGTATCACTCTCACTTTGAAGAATATAAATACTGTGGTGTTTCATTGTCAAGTACGCAAGCAAACACGAGTCATTAATTGGTGAGAGCCATCAATTTATGGTAAAATTGGCAAATCCATAGGCAAATGGATGAAAATTTTTGACAGATTTTGCATTGTCACTAAGCATTCTTAGGATTTTGACAAGCCTTTCTGATTGAAATTGGGGGATCAGACAATGAGCCATTGAGAATGACTTCTGCAATCAATAGGTTGGCCGCCTGAGAGTAGTGTATGCCATCCCAGCTTATATATCTTGATGGGTTATGACAAGGTGCCCCATAGATGGTTCCATTCACAATTGCTTTTTTACCACAATCGATGTGATAACCGTAATAACTGCCACAACAGAACTCCAATGGATTTTCAAAACCTGCCACCACATAATTACAGTGCAAGAACAGTTAGATATGCACCCAAGGCAAGTTCCTTAAAGGAAAAATATGCAAAATAGGGGTGCATTGGTTGGGTGGGTTGAAAAGTCTAACCCGAACCTAATCCAAATTATAAGACTCTTAATCTGAATAATGTAATCTGAGTTTAAATTTTAATTCGAGTCTAGTGCTTGGGTTAAAAAATGGGATTCAAGTTGGATTGATATCAGGTTTGATTATATGACTACTTAATTTAGACTAGGTTAAATTCAAGTTTAATTTGGACCAAGCACAAATTCAATAGTTCGTGGAGGGTTAAAATTGAATATTGAAAACTCACGACCTCAACTTAAATATTGCCAAAATTTAAAATGATTTGAAGATTTTTGACTCAAGTCCAACTTTTTTTGGTTATAGGGTGTTTAGACTTATGTCAAATACTCTCTCAAGCTTTGAGTTGGCCACCATAACTAGATTTAGTTTAAAAATAAGTCTTTGAGGAACAAGGGTGGCTGACCCTTACATTGTGTAAGAAATATCAAACCTAAGAAATCTTATTTACAAGAGAAAAGACTTAAACACTAAATGGTTTACCAAGCCCAACTTGAGTGTTGAAATCTCTATCCAAAGACTAAATAGATTGGGGTGAATGGATAAACCTGCCCAAATTGCATCCTTATCGCAACATATATGCTCAATAATATATACTTGATAAAATTAACAGAAGCTTGCCTTGATTATTTGCATTGCTTATTAGTGTGTATTTAGCTGAAAACACATCAACATATGTGAATGCTGCATGTGGGAGCTTTGCCCTTAGCTGTGACACCCTGTCCTTTAGCTGCCTATTGAACTCCTGAGCCACCTCATTCTGTGGCTCTACGCACCCATTGCTGTCCAAATTGCCAGGCTTCGGCTGGTAGTATATCTCATTGTATGGTAGGCACCCTATTGGACCAGTGTTGTGCACCCAGAAAACTCTTGCCCCTTCTTTGTATAGTTGCTGAAACATGAACCACAATATGGGTCATTTGTGTCGTGTCAATTTGTTCAATACATATCTAATCAGTGTTATGCACCCAGAAAACTCAACCCCTTCGTTATATAGTTGTTGGAATATGGATCACAATGGGATTTTAGTTTCAATTCGATTTGTATCGTGTTTGCAAGTTATGAAGTGTCAAAATTTATTTAATTCATATGTGATTCGTCTGTAACTATGTATAGTCGGATTCGTGTCTGTATAGCGTCAAATAAGACACTATTCTATTCTAGACTCAAAATTCATAAAGGACTAAAAGAGAGAAAATAAAATAGGGAGGTCTATACAATACATCCTGCTGTCTCGAGACATCTACTCTGGTCATGTGGTTGAGGTATAAGACTCGAATACTTGTAGATTAATAAATTAGGTTCTAATGAATCCCAATTGATTCTCCGCGGTTTTTTTGGAAGAGGATATTCGTTTCAACAAAAAAAAAAAACAAATTGTTTGTGTCATTTATTATTTTTATATATACATTTGCAATTTTTAACACGCGCACTATATATTTGATGTATTGTATGCTTAAAAGATAACTCATCCATAATTATGTATTAGATTTGGGTACAGATTTATGTTAACTCACTTATTAAATGAATCTGGAGATTCAACCCGTTTATAAACCAACTCCGTTCCAGTTAAACTCAAATTACCGACAACAGGAGTTTGTTACCTGTACTGCTCGAGCAAACTCATCTAGGATAGTAGGAATGGAATCTCTGGTTTGAGCCTCATTTGTATGCTGGAAACCATAGGCAAGATCATTCTGTCCAATGTCAAATGTGTATAGAGCCTTTGAGAAGTCCCGAGGCCGAGGCCGATTACTGTGGTCACCGAGTTGCTTATAAAGAGCAGTGGTCCGAGACTTGAACTGTATGAATTGAGAAATCTGGAGGTCTAGGTTGAAGGGGCTGTAGCCACCGGGTAGGATCGACGAGCCTCCGGTCGCAAAATTAGCACCATGCCTGAAATTGGTTCCGATTGAGTCCAGATACGCACTCAGGTACGGCAACCCCAAGTTCTCAACTGCATAGCATAAGAAAATTTGTTGGAGAACTAAAAAATGCGATTTTGTAAAAGTGTTAGTTCAAACACAAGGTATAATTCAAATAGTAATAGAAACGAGTTGTAAAACACATATCCTGAATTTGAATTTTGATAATTTGGATCAGGTCATCCCGGGATAACATGCCTTTGACTGGACTAAAAAGATGATTAATCGAAATACGTGTAAATCAGCTTGAACATTCTTGACCGTTGAACTAAAAAAAAAGAATGTACTAGTTCACAACATCAACGTGCAATTAGTTGTTAACAATGACGTGAAATTTTGTTCATCAAGCTGCTTCGATTATTTGAAAGCAGACCTTGATTAAATTTAAGAGACGATTTCCGCTTAGTCCGCCCCTAGCTCTTAGTGCAAAATTTTTGATTCTCAGACCTTGATGCCCTTGACAGAATCATAAAATTGTTCTTTTATGACCTGTGTCATGAGTTTAATTTACTCACGAAAGAGACTTTTTGTTTATAGAGAAATACTAACAACTTCTCACCTTTCCAAATTTCATAAGTCATATAAACCTCCTCGTACACTAAACTAACTATTTTTTGAGCTGCCGACTATTGGCTTCTGAACCTTATAGCTAGTAAAAGCATGCACCGAATGAGTTCTTCATGAATTACAGTTCTCATTGGTGCTCGTGGATGCAACTGTGCTGCTACTAAGATTATACTTATTATGCTTTAAATTGTCCCTAGTATACAATACTCAGATTTATAACGATTCTATCAAACTCTAATTGTTAGTTTTAACGAGGTTGATTGCTGAATCAAATTCAAAATGTATCACTCGGATTAATATTCACCTTACATGTCACTTCAAATCATTAACCATACTCTTTTTCAGAGAAAATAAGAAAATCCATTCTCGTACCTATCAAATCTATGATGAGACGACCATCGCAGAACCTCCCAGAAGGCTTGCCAAAGAAAGTTTCACCATTAGGTGGAGGCACCTCACCCAGAGCAGCTGATCGTCCTCCGGTGTCAGAATTTGAGTCGCCGAAGTTGTATACCGCGGGGAAACCACACTTCCTTAAACCACCACCAAGTTGACTGGCTTCTATACCAGCCAATAAGAAAAAGAGTATCCCAAAGACCCAAATTGCCTTCCCAGACTCCATGGTTTTGCTTAAAAGCACCTTTGTGAAAGTTCAGAAAATGAAGAACATGCAAATGACTACTAGGTTACTGTATAAGGGGTCAAGATTGCGACTGATTGGCTATGTATATGGAGACAAAAACCTTTATGTGAAAGGAGGAATCACATGCAACGGACTAGGCCCACTGTGTCATCACTCCGTTAACCTTTTCCGAGGACATTGGGACCATATTTAGATAGCATGATAATATAAGATTTTCTAGAATTACTATACAGAGGTTTCAATTTCGACTCTATAGTGACAAGAGTCTTGATTTTTCTAATCGACATGTGATTCTTGAGTGATTACATAGATTAAAAATCCACGTTATATCACCAGTCTCGTTTAGTCCAAGAAGAGAGAAGAAAAAGAAAAACAACCTTTGGAATGCACCAACAATGCAAAGATTACAAAATTAATCTTGTGGAAGGTTTCTTGAATGCTAATCTAAAGTAAAAATGACAATAAATGGAACCCAGTGCATATATGTTTTGGCAGGGGTGACCAGTTAAATAAGCCCTGTACAGTTCTAACACATTTGTTGATGATGTAGTTGCCGTGAACTCCAAGTGCTATTCACAGGTGAACAAGGGAAGATTATTGTTGGCAGCCTCTTGCTTTCTTCCAAATGAGGGAAATCAATGGTGTAGTGCAGCCCACGGCTTTCGTGCCTTGCAAGGGCACTGCTTATCACCAGCTTGGCACAGCAGAAGAGGTTTCTCATTTCACAAACCTCGATCCCCACTGTTGTTGGTTCCCACCCTTGCTGAAATAAGTCGGTCTCCCATTCCAATTCCAACTCCCCGATCCTCTGCTCAGCAGTTTCCAGCCTCGTTGTTGACCGAACAATTCCAACATACTTCCACATTATGGATTGCAATTGTTTTCTCACTTCCCTTGTCCTAGTATTGATTTTGCCCAATATATTGATCCCAAGTGACCTGGGCACAACTGGTCGAGCCCACCAATCGGAAGCACCATTTCCAGTGTGAGAGCTCTTCATCTGATCTATTGAAGGCTGCACAGCTCTTCTTGCAAATACTAGTGCCTCAAGCAACGAGTTGCTAGCAAGACGGTTTGCTCCATGCAAACCTGTGCATGCAACCTCACCTGCCACATAAAGACCTCGCACATTTGTCTCCCCTTGGAGCCCAGCACGAACTCCTCCGCACATATAATGAGCAGCAGGAACCACTGGAATTGGTTGGCAGGTTATATCTAGGCCATATTGCAGGCACTCAGCAGCTATGTTAGGAAAGTGAGAAAGAATTTTTTCTCTAGGTTTGTGACTTATGTCAAGTAATACGTACTTCTCATTTCGCTTCTTGAGCTGATCATCTATACTTCTTGCGACCACATCCCTAGGAGCAAGCTCTGCCCTCTCGTCGTACAAGGGCATGAACCTCTCCATGCCTAAATTGTAGAGGATGCCTCCATCACCCCTGACAGCTTCAGTGATTAAGAAGGCATTTTCTCGGGCCTTGATTGGTGTAACTGGAAGGCCTTCATCAGCTAAGGCAGTGGGGTGGAATTGCACAAATCTGGCAACAAAACAGTGCACAAAACACAGTTACTAAGGCAACCTTCTAGCAGAAATCGTTCATGTAACCTGCAAACTAATAGCACAGATTAATCAATTCAAATAGTCTTATAGCTTAGCCATTATCTAATGGCGTAGCTGTATCACTTGAGCTAGAAGACTTTTTAAATTGTCTAATCTGTGCTATCACTATCCAGGAGATGAACAGAAAGAAGTTTCATGTTGAAATCATTAGTGGTTGACTGCTACCCTGGATATCTTTTAATTGAGAGTCCCAATGCTTATCCAATGGTGAGGTCATGGCTTTATGCTTCATAAAAAGGATAGCACTCCTTTCACTTAACAGTCAAATGACATATCTGTTCTCAGAAGTGTCTTAAATTCTGAATAATAATAATTTTGAGGATTTCAGAAAGAAACTAGAACCTAAAAACGAAATTATTATATACCTCGTGGTTATATAGTATAGTTAGTGCATATACAGCAACTATGACCTAGTAATTTTAACAAGAAGGAAGTTCCATTCTGAGAAGAAATCAATGATTACTTACTCCATGTTCGAAATTACAGCTTGAGCTCGATGGGCCATAGCCATTCCATCTCCAGTGGCTACCTGTATGATTACAAATAAGCAAAATTGAAGTGCACTTATCATGAAATCTTTGATTGCGTGATTAAGGAAATAAAGTGCAAAAAATCTTTGATTGCAAAAAGAGACAATCCAGTTTTATTCCCAAGACTAACCAACACATTTATGGTTTCTAAGTAGAGCTGGCCATACTCAACTAAATTCTGAGAAAAAGAAATTTAAAAATGGAATACTACCACAAAAAGGGAATCATAATCTCCTCACATGTTTGACCTTTCAAAGCTTGGAGGAGGCTACACCATCTCAAGTTCTAAGCATGTAGAACTTTCATTTGAAGAGAATTCAATTTAAAAAACAACAGTCAATAACATTTGATGGGTAGTAAAAATGTTGATAATTAGTTTCCACTATTGGATAGATGACGATTGATCTGAAAACTACCATCTAGTTTTAAAGGTGCTCTCAAGCGACCAAAGAACATGAAAATGAAAATCAACAGTGTCATCTTTGTGACAGGCATGTTTTGTTTTTTTTTCCTTTATTATAAATTGAGATAACGCTTATATAGCAGAATCATTGCCAGGATTACGTCGCCTAGGTCTTTTTTTTTTTTTTTGAGGACTCCAAGTTCTGAAAATAAATCTGTTTTTGCTTTGAAATAACTCCAGCAAGGAAATTGAAGATGTCTCATATTCTACAGGAAACAAGTGAAGTGAGTTTCTCCAACGTAGGCCAAAAAAAAGGTTTCTCCAACACTTTTCATGTTTAACACTTTCAATTTATCAGATGAATGTGAATGCATGTCACTAGATTCTAAATGTTAAGCTAATGAATATCAAGGCGATTAGAAGCCCTCATCTTTAGAAATGACAAATAAAAAATACCACCAACAATTAAGGATACAATGATTCATAGTGAAAGAAAAATTGAAACCATACTGGAGGATTTGTAGTTGTGGGATAGATATGTCCAGCCCCACCTGATGCGAGCAAAGTCACCTTTGAAATAAATCGAACCACCTACAAGTTGAAAGGGAGTAAAAAAGCATGATTACATACAAAGCCTGTTCGGACAAATGGTCAAAATCTATTTCCAAAAGAATTAGAAAAAACTAGGTATGAATAAGCACCACGGTCCTCACCTCTTGGGTTTCAGTATTTAAAGTGTCGACACCAAGACAAACCGTCTCAGAACATTCCTGCAAGTGCAGCAACACAGACTCATTTGAGATAATTAAGTATTGGAGTCTTTCAGGGTCCAACTGAACAATGTCAACTTAATAGTTGAAAATTTCACAAGGACCGTCACAACATCCAACTGTCACGCCATGGTATTGTGGTCTCTTATTATCACTACTTCGTTGGGTGCATTCATCTCATGCCAACCCAAATTGGGAGCATTCACAGTGCAGTTTCAAGATAATATTGTGCAAAACAAGAGCAAGTCAGAAAACGAACCTGTGCAGTCAGCAAGTCTATTGCAAAATGGTGTTCAAACACAAAGATATTAGGATCCTTTACTACTGCCTCCAACAGTGCCCTCTCAATTTCTCTTCCTGTCATATCAGCAGCATGCACAATTCTGCGATGAGAGTGACCTCCTTCCCTTGCCAAATGTAAGTTTCCATCCTCCCCATGATCAAATGACGCACCCATAGCAATCAATTCTCTAATTCTCTCAGGTCCTTCTGTACACACGACCTGTGTATATACCTCAACATTAGATAAAGCTCAAACGGTTAAGCAAGTGAGCATTTGTATACACACAAATACACACAGTTCCAAATAATATATCTCTGCATTTCTCACAGGGTAGACATCTGCAAACTGAAGCTCTAAAACGAATTACAATGGCTATATCTATTCTCCCAGCTGCCAGCAAACCGGCTCTAAACAAAACAACACATACACAAATGCAGCACAACCACAGGAACACATGCATGCAAATTCCCACACATGATTACCCACCCCCCACCTCCCGAGGGGGCGGTGGCCCACAAAAAAAACATTTCAGCATTGCAGGTACATGCACAAATCTTAAAGCTAGTTGGCACCAATGAAGCACAAAACTACCTACAGCAACAGAAATTGATGAGAACAAAAAAACCCAACATGTGAACCAGTAAAGAACGTAAAGCTTTTTTGGGCCCTCTACAACCCATAAGAATTTTCATACGAAAATGCTAAAAAATCTAAAGCCACAAGATAATAACGTCTCTAAACTCCAACGACCAGAGACAAGTAAAAATTATTCTTCTGGAAACCTACTCTGACAGTCTCTTCGTCGCATAGATAAGCCCCTGCTATCATTGTATCCCGCATGTGAGACTCCACTGAATCAGAAGGACCCAACACGGCACTAACACCACCCTGAGCATAGTTTGTGTTGCTTTCATGAGGCTCAGCCTTGGTTATCACGGCAACAGTTCCATATTTTGCAACTTCAAGGGCATAACGGAGACCGGCAACTCCGCTACCGATAACAGAAAAATCAAAATACTTTGTAGAATCATCTTTCAGGCATGCTGCAATGATTGTTCTAAGGGGCCTCTGATTCTCAGAAATTTGAAAATAGGAATAGTTGCATCTCTGGATCCCCAAGAACTTGGACACCCCATATGGCCTGGAAGATTTATTAAGAGGATTTTGTGAGAAGGAAGTACATATATTAACTAGATAATCAAAACCTCTGCTGCTTTTACAAATTATTTTGGTCAGGAAAATGAGCAGAACTACTACTATGAGGTATTTAGATGATATCACTGTTGGCCCAGATTTGCTAAAACACAAAAGGATATGCTATAAGACTGGAATTGTTCATTATAAGAAAACCACGAGATGTGTCTGACCAGCTTAATTTTACATCAACGCAGCCAAACTTGGAAATGACCAGTATTACAAAGGTTTTAAGAATGATATAATCACAATGTTGTGCACAAAACAAAATTTGCAATTAGTTTTCTTCAATTCAATATTAAGATCCTCAGTGGCATCAAATCAGAAAAATTACCCGAAAAGGGACAATGCGAACATATTTTCAAAATCCCGCAATTGGCCACAAGTACATTTGTATCACAAATGAACTCAGTTCAGAAGTTAATTGCACCAGACAAGAACTTGATTGCACCAAACAAGCACAGACATGGATGAAATTTCATACAAGCACACCAAATAAAGAATAGGATCGTGGTCCTTGCCACTTACCAAGAAAGCTTCTTTGGCATACATCTCTGGAAGGCTATACCAGAAACACGAGAAGCTTGCCTGCAACTTTGTCCCCCGCAGACCGTCTCCCCAAATTGTAATTTGCCAGTTCCAGAGGCTATACTAGTTGTCATTGCAATGTTTCTGCTAGACAAAAAGAGTTCCAAAACATATATCAATCAACACTTCCAAAAAAAATTGTTTATACTACAAGCAGGGCATCTTGGAAACGACAACCATATCTTAATTTACCATACTTTAAGCTCTCATGGGACCATAATGAATTTCATTTTCGCTAAATATGAACTGCCTGTTAGGTGTACACTCCCGAAAAAGGAAAGTATCTTTAGTCCCATATTTTGGAGATTCTACTTTAAAAACTAGAAATCTCTCAATNTTTGGCTGAGGAGGAGGGTTGCATTAAGTAGCTGACAACCAACGTAAACCATTGTCGGATCCACCATGAAGCCAAAATTATAAAACTAAATAATGTAAAGGCACCATAAAAGAATCAAACTTTCAGCAAGGCCCTTCCATATAATCCCTGTGAGAAGCCAAAATTAGCTGTCCACATAAAGAAATAACATCAACTCACCCACTAATCTGGGTAAGGAAAAAATACCTATACACTTACNTGGATCAGAGGATGTTATGAAAATATGAAGCTTAATTTCAGTTTCTTTTCTTCTCCTTCCTTCATTCTTTGACAAACAAACAGATCTAGAACCAAAAGACTTAAATTCACACTTCAGAGCAAAAGAAAGTTGGAAAAAGACCCCCAAAACAAAAACAGAAGGCCGGCTAAATTATAGGAGCAAAAACAGAAGAAACCAAGAAAGCCAGAAATTCTAGGCAACAAACAACCAACTATCCATCAGCAAACAAAGCAATCTCAACCAAGACAAAAGCATCATTAAAGATTCATCGGACATCAAACAAGTGACTACCCATTGTCGAAAAAGACGAATCTTTAATAAAACAAAGGCTTCATTACAGAATTAAAAAAACACCATGATACCAAATCAGACCACATAATGATATTCATTAAAATCAAAATCCAAAAAGATTGGCTGAGACACCAAAGCAAACACTCTGATATCCATTGTTTATACGCAACAACCTGTGTGTGCAATTGGGTATAATTCTCCGAATCCAAGACTTACAAAGGATCTCTTCTGGTCTAGATGCGACCCGTTTAGTGTAATAGAAAGTCGAAACGCTCGCCTTAATCTATGGGTCGCCTTAATATACAGAGTATTCGAAGAATGAACCAGTGGGGAAGCATAGAGATTGGAAGAAAAATATGATTTGTTTTTGTAGAAAATATGGAATTGCATACACGAGAAGGTATCTAGAAATCGGAAGAGAAAAAGAGAGGAGCGAAGATCAAAGTCCTACATTCCCGAGGGGCCACAGTTGACATTTGCTCCAGAAGCATCGTTGAAGTTCGCGCCAACCCCTCCTTCTTAATCCCTGTGAACGCCGCTCATTTTTTTTCCCAAGTTTTTTCTTCTCTCTTTCTCTCTCCCTCATCCCGAATAAATATTAGATGTAACTGTTATACCGTCAGAATTGCTGGATGATATAATTATTTAAAAATAAATAAATAAATTGACAAATAAATCATACTTTTATTTTATATATATTATAACGCCCCAATTTTTTTTCTTTTTTTTCGGAAATGATATAAAAATACTCAAATAAAAATAACAAATCACTAATTATTCCAATAAAATTTTATTTATCAAAATTATCTCTCAATACAAATAAATTTGTCAATATAAATAAATCTTTCAACAGGATTAAAACATCAATTACATCGACATATCCTCGTCTTTAATATTCTGATCATCTCGTTCTGATCTTTTCTTTAAAATCAACCTGAAAATATTAAATAAAACGAAAAAATATATAATATGACGAGAAAAAATATGCTCAAGTACATTGAATAACAAATAATCGAGTATCACAAAGTATCTCAATCAACATATACAAATAGCATATTTGTATATCACACGTCATACAGAATCTTAAAACCGATCTGACACCTCACCAATCATCTCATCTCAACACGATCCCATAGGTGTCGTGGTTGGCGATGCACCGGCTATTGGTTGTCACGATCCCGTCTCAATATTCGCAGAATACAATTAATGAGATCAAGAACACGATTAATGAGATCAAAATATTCAACGATATTCAATCGAAATTCTAAAATAATGATAGCACAAGTTGAAATACAAATCAAATGATAATCAAAGAAATATTTTTTGTAAAGAGATTTAAAGAAAACATATTGTATACCACCCCCGTACTTCAGAATCATTATTTGAATTCGATAACTGATTTCTGTTTCATTCTTCTTATTTTCGGGTAGCCCTCTATTTCTCATTTTCCTCTTCTTTGTTTCTGTCAGACAACTCCCTGTCTCTCGGTTTATCTTTCAAGACCTCCTCCACTTTCTTTTATTTTTGGCTATCTTTATATGCTAAGAAGGTGGGACGTCTTCTGCCAAATTAATTGGCAAATGTTGAAAAAATCTTTCCACGACTTTTTCTACAATATATTCAATGCTAGCTGAAATCTCATTTCTTTATTCTTTTTCTCTCTTTCTTTGTTTTGTCTCTCTTTTTTTTTTCAAAGTCTTTATGAGGGTGAAGACCAAAGAAGTATAAATGTTAAGATATTTATACTTTATTCCCCTTTATTTCACTTATTATATATATCAACCATAAAACTTAAATATTTCTTATACTTTTACATCAAAACTCATAATATTTTACACTTAAACTACTTCTAAAAATTTGGGACCTCACATATATGATAGTTACTATCTTCCATAGAGAGATGATTATTCAAATAAGTGTGTTTTATTTTGTCCAATTATTGAATTATTATTAAGTGATTACATCATGTAACAGTGCTAAAACATTATAGCCAATTACACATAATATTTACTCCTTCTCCCCCC